AGTTTTGTTTGTATATGACTTAATGTGTTGCTAAATTGGAGTGGAATTATGCCCTTGTTTTAAGTTTCTTTTGAATATACATTTTAACTCATGGGCTGTATTTTTAATGAAATTTCAAGAAGCGAAGAATGTGTTTGACTCCGTTAAATTGTTATCAGTAGTTTGACAGTGTCATGATGTAACAGCAACATAATTTTCATGCTTTTTTTTTTTATTTCACTTGTAACTGAGGTTAAAACAATAATTGTGGAGTAAAGTTGTGAAGACATTAGGCCACGGATGGTAATTCAGTATAGAAAATATTTTTTTCCCAAACCTGGAATATATTCTTTTGTTTGACTACCAAACTTTGCTGAATTATTGCATTACATGGATAAAGGATATGGTCCAGCCTGTGGTTTCATTATGTTGATAACTTACTTATATTCTAGCACAAACTGTGTGCTCTGTATGTTATACAGTAGTGCCCCATGCCCTCCTCAAAATCACTGCAACAGGTCATCATCCTAACCTTTTTTTGCCTTTTAGATATGTTTTGTTTCTCAAGCAGGAAAAAAGATTTGACCTATTCTTTATAATACTTTGTTTTACTTAGCAGCTCAATTTATCTACTCCAGACGAGACAAACCAACAACATTTGCGGAGCCATTAGAAGAGGAATATGGCTATGAAGGTACAGGTGATGCTGCTGATTATTTTACATCCAGTCATCAGTTGACTGAAGTTGATAGAGGTAATTATACAAAATAAATAATTCTCAGGACAATCTTGTTTTTATGAATTAAGACCTTACTAAAATAGTCTTAAAATAGTGTTTGTTACTCGACTGACACTGCTCACAGTTTTTTAATCCTGTAGAACAACACCCTTCATTAGCACAGCTGCAGTGGTGATTCTTTAAAGTTTGTAACTACTACTACTTATAACTTAGTTGCATGCGTTGAAATATGTTCTTAGTTTCTTGGAAGTAATGAGATTCGATACAAAATTCAGGCATAAGAACAGCTGTACTGGCTCAGAACAAGCGTCCCTGTACCTCAAATTCTTGACTCTGCAAATGAATACTTAGGGGAGAGTATTAGAAATGGAGTATTTGTAGAATGGTCTTTTGCTTGTATTGTATTCAAAATTATGGCAATTAGCAGTATTTTAGAGGTTTTCAAAGTCATGCATTTCCTTGAAACAGGAGCCAGTATCTTTAGATACCTGCATCCTCTACAATCTTTTCTTACCCTGCTTTGTATTCATTAAACTTTGATTTCCATTCAGTCCTGCACCAGTGAATTACGTGTTACAAGCTGACTTGTGAGCTGAGTGTTTGGGGGAAAAAATGATTGGTTTTGGTATTTAAAGTTCCTGCCTGACAGCTTAATTATGTGCTTTGTGAAAAAAACTCACAAGTCTCTTTCCTAAGTATTAGTAGTTGACTTAATTTCTAATGTTTTGGAAATAATCAAAGTTATTTTTAAAATGCTGATAAGCTCGTGGTAGAGTGTACTGGTGAATGAATAGACAATAAAACGCATGAATGAGGTTTGATGTTTAAAACCAGTGGCAGAAAATTCAGAAACAATACATGGAATAGAAACAATCTAGGTTCCATGTTAAGTAAATCGATAGAAGCTTTGCTCATGCATAGACATATGGGAAAATATGATAAAGTGGGGTGTAATATACGTGTTTTTACAGCAGGAAATAATGCTGTAGAGGGCAATTTGCAAGTCTCAGCCAATATGTGGATACAGGTGATCTAGGCAGTATGATACCCTGGCTTTTCAGAATGCTTTTAACAGGCTCAATCACTTAAGAACTGATATCGGAACAAGAAGGAGAGTAATGTTCTGGACTAAAAATAGATGGGAAGGAGACCTAGAAATAACCGTTTCTGCTTTGAAAAGAGCAGTGTTTCCTCAAGACATGTTACATTTGTTATAGTGTGCAGTACCTGTTTGCAGGGCAAATGTCTGGGGAATGTTGATTTGTTACTTGGATTACAGGTCAAGGGCGCTGATTTAAGTAACCCTGAGCAAGTTGGAATTCTGTGGTGTGGAATTCCTTTAGCAAAGTACTTGAAACTTCGCCATCTTTGAGGAGGTGTCCAAATAAACAATTTGTGTCCAAATAAATAATTTATATGCTTCCTGTAGCTCAGTTTCTGTTTTTTAAATCAGAACTGGCAGAAATTATGATACGCAGGAAAATTTTCTTTTGTTCTCTTGTGTTCGTGTGCCTGATTAGTGTACTGCTTCAGGGAATGGCAGTCTGGTGGATTTTCTGGCTCTTGTTGTGTGGCAAGTCACGACTTAAGAAACCTAGCTTAGTCGAGGCTTTTACTTCAAACTGCAGAAATATGCTCCAAAGAAAATTTATTTTATCACCCCCTCCAAAAGTAGTACAGTTTTAGGAATTGTAAAGATTGCAAGTGGTTTCAAACTTGACGTATTGATCTGGAATTTTCAATTCTTAAGCCATGAGGCCCCCAAAAATACTTTTCTGCTTTAGGTGTTAATTATAGTAGATATAAACACTTAAAATGTGCTATTTGGTGGGATTCCGTGTTAACTCACTAAATTACTTTGGATAATTTTAATGTGATTGTTTGTATTTCTCCTCTGCAGAGGAGATAGTTTATTTTAGAACATGAAAGGATTTCAGTATTGAGACTTTATAGACTAATAAATAGTGGTATTTATTAGTGGTATTATTTATTATCACTGTGGTATTGTGCTCCTCTTTCTCTTAATCAGATGTGTAGTGCTAGTAGATAGGCCACTTGAGACATTTTTTTTTGTGCAGTTTGTAACAGTAATGTGTCTCTTTTAGCCCGTCTTAATTCATGCCTTGATCAAATGAGAGAAGTTTTGGCAGAGTCTGTACCAGAGCAAACAATGGTGCAAGCAGTACTGGATAGTAAATTTGATGTACAGAAGGCTTTGGATCTTGTACTTTCACAAGGCAGTAAGCAGAATGTGAAGACCAAGAATGAGAATGCTGTGATTGTAGGAAAGACGACAAAAGGTATACTTCTATTTAATTGTTTACATTCAAGATGATTCATTTCTATGTACAGTTTAATTTTGGCTTTACAAGCTGTGAAGATCCTTGTTATTGCATTAGTCATTCTTTAGAAAATTAAAAGGACCAACATACTCTTCTATTTTTGTTTTCTAAAAACACTTAAAGGAAACAGTAGCTAGAAGTCAAAATAAAAACTTAGTGTCAGTGTAAATTCAGAGTGCACCCATCTGCAGTTCACAATAAATTTCTGATTTGTTGTATTTGACTTAACTGAATGAATACATGTCCTAAAAGTTGGACAGCATCTTTTATGTTTAGTAGATACCTGTAATTTAATTGTGAAACACTGCATATCTTTGGATAACACTTAGTAATTAAATGCCTTTTCATGTTTCTTCTTAATTTTTTTTGTTGCTGCTGTCAACTTAAAAAAAATGGATATTTCATTGTGACCACCCTTCCATCTGAAAATTACTGGCTATTGTAAGGTAAGGAGACTTACTTTGTTGTCCAGAAATGTGTATTGATACAGACAGCTTTTCTTATGCAGTAGAAAATGTTGCTGACAACACCAGCAAACCTGGATTTGGATACTTGACAACCCAAAGTAGTTTAGATTATTGCTCTTTAATTACAAATGACAAAATGCTCCTTAATGCTGAAAAATCCCATATACCTTCATCTGAAAGGAAGGGAATGAAATCCTCTTCACTTGTTCTGTCGTCTTCTTTCGGTGATGATTTGTTTAAAGGATCGTTTTGTGAACCTGTGAATAAACAGGCAGAGAATCGGCTACCAGAAAGTGCTAATGCATTAAATTCGATTCCTGACAGTGAAGATGTTTACTTTAGCATAGGAAGTAACCCATCTGGAAATTCTTCTTCTAAGAAGTTGGAATTCAAGGAAACACAAGACTTGAAATCCTTGCTGATGCAGAGTGCAGTTTCTGATTCTCTGAGTCCTGAAGACAGCATTCCTCTTGTTTCCTCAAATACTTCTGATTGTAATAGTAATGCAAATTTTGACCGTCCTCCATGCTTAACAAGTGCTTTAGGAAAATTGGCTCTTGGTAATGAAGTCAGTCATGCTATAAATAAAGAGAATGAACTTCTTGAGAATTTTTGTTCACTTGTGCAAAGTAGAAAACAAGAAAGCCTCCCTTCAGACAGGGCTGCTTTGCCAGTGTTTAGGTCTGGAAGTACATCATTGGCTGATTTACTGCGGGAGCACCAGGAAGGCAGCACTAGCCACTGCTACTCTTTGGCTGATCTTTATACTGAGTCAACAGGAAGTCTCACTGATAGGAAATTGGGGAACTCACTGTTATCAGAACTAGTAAGTCAACCCCTGACTTCAGGTGGGATGCCAGAGCTAACAGGATCTTTGTCTTCTCTTGCCGTCTCTAAAGTTTCTCCTCCAAAGGAGGTTGAGAATTTATCACTCTCGGATTTAATAGCAGAGACTATTGAAATAGATAAAACGCAACAAAGGACGGACTTCCCCATGCTTGGTGTAACTGAGTCGAGGCCCTCTAAAAGAACAAATATTGATTTAAGTGTTCTTGTAAAAAATGCAGTTGTACCTGCAGAACAAAACGTGGTGGCGCAGTCAAATATCTTCAGCCCTGAAACAAAACTTGTAAAAGAAGAACAGGGAAAGTGTTCAGATTTTGTCAAAACAAATAAAAAACCCAAGAGAGGGCTTACTCCTAAGAGGCAGGATTTGTCCCTTTCGTGGATAAAGGCGCTGCGCGCAAGACCTTCAGCTTTTGCTTTAACCTTGTGTCTCCGTTACCCTCCCAAAAGTTACAAGCGGCGTGCAATTAGTGTACATAAAGCTTTCCTGTACAGTAGACAAGTACAAGAAGAAAAACCTAAGGAAGCTGGTCCTATAATAGCCATAACGCCATTTGACTTCAAATCGGCATCTCCTGATGATATTGTGAAAGCTAACCAAAAAAAGGCTTTTACAAGAGAGTAGTGGGGGGAAAAAAAAAAAAGAAACAGTGTTTATATCTTGATATCTTAAAAAAAAAAAAAAAGAAAGGAATTGTATAGGACGTATTTCTAATCCAGAATTGAAATTTTTATTTTTTTAATTGACATTACAGTCCTCACTGTTTGGTAGCAAATTTGTATGTGAACTTCTAAGCTGTTGCACTGAATATTTTTGCCTAATTTTCAGGACATTTTTAACTTTTGCAAAGTCTCAATCTTTAATATACAGGTAATGCATTTACAAAGTTCTATAAACACCACTAGACTTCTTCAAAACATCTTTATAGGTGTTGAAGATGCAGTTCATTGGGAAGAATGCTGAATTATGATTTTGTAAAGTAATTTAGTTTTGCTATATGGAGTATGGTTTGGGGAGCAGGAACTTTATATTATGACTGTTTTATTAAATATTCTTAAAGTTACATTTTCTTTCTGGTAAGGTATGTTATTAAAGTGCTAGTCTTGTAATTGGTATTTCCAGTCAATGTCATTATTCTCTTCTATCTTTATAGCAATTACTATATTGCAACAGAAATACCTTTAGTTTTTAAAGGCGTCGCTAACGTCGGGTTTTGACAAGTGTAGTTGTGGTAGGACGTGAAGTTTTTGATAGGACCAAATTTGTAGAGGAGCAAGCAATTAAAATTGTATGCCCCCTTCCTCCAATCAGCTGCCAAAATGTGATGGTTACAATTTTAAACCCACTGGTTTTTAGGTGTATACATGTTTGTATGTGTTTTATGAGAAATTTTGCTAGGATTGTTCTCAAGTCTTCCAGAAAAGTATTAGAATAACAATTCTTTCAGCTTTAGCATGAGAGTCTTTGCTCAATGGAAAAAAATAATTCAGGCAAAGCGTAAGTGCTGTTTGTATCTGCCTCTCATCTGTTTTGAAGAAAGCTTCCTTTAGTAATGGAAATATATTCTCTTTCACTGTTTGCGCCCATTGCTGTTACTTTGAAATTTTAGATGGAAGATCAGAATCGGGGCATTCTGGACTTACATTTTTTTAACTGTTAATTACCAGATTTCTGATGCCCCTGTTAGTCAAATTAATAACTGCATGTATGTTTCAACTTTCCTTTTAGTACACATAGTACTACTTTTAATATATTTCCAGCATCAATGTCAGTATTTCTGATCCTGAACAGCAATAAGGACAATAAAGATACTGCTGCAACTAGGAAAACACATTTGTTCATAAACTGCCGTGCACTTGTTCATGGTAAATTTGGCAGCTAGTACGGAACAGTAGATAAAGTTTTCATCTAGTTTTAATCTATTTTTTGTGAAGTATATTACATTAAAAAAAAAAAAAAGACAAAACTTAAAATTTATTCTTGACTTTGTGTCGCACCAGTTTTCTTTCTGAGTAAAAATAAAACATGTTCCAGTGCTCTCAGGTACAAATTTCATGTTCTGTATATTTTTCTTCTTTATCTAGATGATGCTAATGTCATTTACGTCTATAAGCAGTGTGACCTCTGACCTCTTGAATGAAATGAATGTTTCTTATCCTTACTAATAAAAATTTTATATAATGACAGTGCTACAGTGTTTATGTTCTAGTTGATGTGTTAATCTAGCCATCCCTATCTTTATAT